TACTAAAAATTAATCTATGCACATCTGTACTCAGGTATTGTTGAAATTCAATCCTGGTTCTGGAAATATGGTAGAAATTGTCGCGTGCTTCTATTGTTACAAAAAATTTTAATTCTAATTTTCTAATTTGTATTAAATACTCCACAATATACTCTCGTAACAATAGTAGTCCAACGACCTAGCCCAACTTATATTAATCACTTCTAACCCCGAACAACCTGTTTACTACTAGTCCAATCAGGATTTTTCCACATACAAACTTAATAAGGGGAAAACATGACCAAATCTCATATTAATTTTGAGCTTTCAACAACTTCCCCACCTATCGTCATCCCTGCTCATAAGGTGTCGTATCGTGCATCTGTACCGGAAACTCGAATGTCACCTACAACCGGAAATCCTGTATTTGATAGTAAACAGTCGACTATTAATTCTCATCTGTCTTCAAAAAGCGGAAGTCTCGAATCAAATCATATATCCTCCTCGCCAACGACCTTGACCCTGCTAGAAAATAACCATATAGAAGTCTCTCCACTGTCGTCAAACTCTGTACAACAATCCTCTTCCTCTTACTCTTACTCTTCCTCGTACTCTTCTCCCCCGAAACATATATTGACCAACGGTTTTCGGTCTACCACAATGTTACCGAGTTCGTTGAATTCGAAGTTTGAGACTTCGAGATCCCCTTACGGTTCGTCATCAAGAACCCGATCTCTTTCGTATACCAAAGGGACCCGAGGTTCTTTGACCGTTGGTGTTAATCACACTTCAGCCCTTGCCAGGAATCCCTTTGGTGACTGCGAAATATTTACCACCGATGTACTGAAACCGTTGATCGAGTCAAACGCAAAGAAGTCCACGAACGATTCTAAAAAATCACCCGACGAAGAACTTGGTAGTAGTAAACCCACTGTCTCGCAGGAGAAAACTGAAAAGAGATTACGTCGGAAGAGTAGTTGGGACATTGTGGAATTGCTGGCATTGGACAACTTTAGAAATTGGATGGTATGCTTTTGCGTGGTGAACTTTGACTTAGAATTGGGTCAGGCGATAGATTCTATGTACCCACCTTTAGAATTGGGAGATGAAGAAAAGAAGAGTATTTGTTTTTCGGCTTTTCCGGACTCCAATTCTTTCGATGTGGGTGATACTGTATTTAGCTTCCGGATAAGATGTTCAAAATCGGGATTGGTTGCTTCAGGTTTGTGAGAATTATAATTGCCTGTCAAATAAGATTCAAGAGATTCGATATGAGATAGAGGACCATACACTTCCGGACTATTATTGAAATGTTTTCCTAATGTGGCACCGACAACAATCGTCTGAAGGAATTCTCGAATTCTTGCTCAGCTCAAACATCATAAGTAGTAGGACTAAATCTAGCATCACATAAACTTTTTTTGTTTAACATTAGCTAGGGTAACATCCGGATATGTCTATTAGACTTGAGACTTTGGATTTCTTGATCAAGAAATGTGCATCATTGAAATCGAGACCGATACCGTTATACAATTCTTGTAGCATCATAGATGCAATCTAAAAGATAATCTTTTGCTCATTAGGTCCAACTGCTGATGCAGGATTTTTATATGGTTATGTGTTCTTTCGACAAAAGAAAGATCCAAAGATAAGGCGAGGATACTTTCAGGTAACGGTTCGAATGGACCTTTCTAAACCCAATTTATCCATCTGCTTTGAAATAATATCATTCATTGACTTTACGCGAATTTCAGAAATCCCTGGTATTACTGTCCCAATATCCGTTCGTTGGTCTTTTCTCAAGAGTGGTCTCAATACTCGGTCCTTCATATTTTGAGGTGGGAAAACCAATGCTGGAGGCAGCGTGTCACAACATCGCTAGCTGGTTTGTGCAGTCCTCTCCCTGATTACTTAGACGACATTCATCTGTATATAAATAATTTATTCACCAAATTATTTGAAAAATCAAAGGAAATCACCGTCTCCTGGAAAATTATTTGACCTCCCATTCCTTGGATATGTAATACAAGTAGAGATCCCACAGTCGAATAAGCCACAGCTGCTAGAAACGAGTCCGTTTGATATGTCCAACTACCGACCTGAGCTTCAGATATTAGCTTCGTTACCACCGACACCGATGTTCACCCATTTCCGAGGGATGATCAAGGATTTATGGTTATGTTGGGAGCTGATGTTATTTGCCGAACCGATAGTTTTGATTGCGCCGGATCCAAAAGTTTGTAGTGAGTCGGTGATCGAGTTGATGGACATAATAAATCCAGTAAGTTTTTGACGCCAGTACATTCTCTTTGCATGTTTTTTAAGAATTTCTCAGGGGTACAATGATTTGTCATTAGATACCTTATTGCGGAGATTATCGACCATATTTCACCATCCAAGATTCCGATTTTAAGACTTTTGTGACTAAAAATAGGGTAGATGCTTCATTTAATTCGTTACTGTCTGTTACTTTTTGTGCACTTTCGTATTAAGGTGACCGTGTGTTCTAGCCTCCATCAAATGTTATAATTGGGGTGACCAATCCATTCTTTACAAAAGCGTTGCAACATTGGCCCAACATAATTAGAGTTGGAGTTGG